TTTTATGATATATTATATATTATTACATTATATATTATATTATTATATTATTAATTTATTTGATTCTTTTTTACTGGTTTTATTGTTTTAAATGAGGTTTTATATTCTGTAAGCCGCCTTGAGTTGCCCTGTGCAAATAGGCAGCAATATAAATTAATTAAATAAATAAATAAAAAATAAAGGGCCTAGGAAAGAGAGGCCCCATTCTGTAAGCAAGGGTTAGAATGAACAGTCATCTGCAATGCAAGCAAGAATTCTATCATTGCACTTTCTAAAACTATTTTTGAATTGTAACTTTTTAAATCTGGCTTGATACAGAACAATGATGTTATCTAGACAGGTCTCTCAGTTAAGGAGATGACACGGTAGAGAGATAGAGAATTTGCTACTGCTTGCCTACAGCTAAAGAGTCAAATATTCTTAGATGGCCTATGCTTGATGTAGTTATAAAATTAATGTCCTGATACCGGATGCTAGATCCTAAGAAAATTTACAAAATCCATAGCACAAAAACTATGGGTATGTATTTAAGACCTCATAATCAGAAACTGAGAGAGAGGAATAGAGAGGAGATTGTTTCCATGCAAATATCGTGATGTGTATATGGTTATAATTTAAAGATAAATTGGGGAGGAAAAGACTTAGACAAGGATGATTATAGTTCCTGTTTAAAAACAAACAAACCTGGATCCAAAACAAGGATATTGCTACAATTTTATGTCAGAAACATTTTGAGTGTGTGTTTCATAAGCAAGAGTACTACTAAGCCATTTTTCCCATGTTTTCCATACAGCATCGGGCCAGACGGCTTGATCAAGGTGACTGATTTTACCCAGAATCCTCGAGTCAGGCTGGAGTAGATTCTCAGTACATCATATACTATCAATGTTAGATGGAGGAAGAAACAGAGAATAGAATGACTTAAACAAATAGGCCAACCTCGCAGTCACTTTTTCCCTTTGTGTCTGTTAATAAACAGTTTGGTAAAGCAACCACTAAGAAAGATGAAAACATAGATTGAGAAGGTGCCAGTAAAGTACAGTACAGTCTATTGTTAATTTTATAGTATTTTGATATACACGCGTCCACCCAAATAAATATCACAGACTACCAAAGAGTATAAACCTATTGAATATATTTGAGGTCCATCCTTCTCCCCTCTTTTTGCATTTCAAATTATCTGGCATTGCCATGCAAACATGTTGGGAATTTAAAAAGTTTTATTTACAGAACAATATTAGGATTTTCCCAAGGTATCTACAATTATAGAAAGAAAAGAGTAAACTTAGGATCAGGCTATCAGTTTGCTTTTCTAATAGCTCTAAGTGACTATTCTATTATCATTTATCCAAGCATAGTGGTTTAAAAGTTCTTCATATCTAAAACTTCCTTTACAGGCTCTTTCCATATAGTGAGGATATTATTTTATTTAAAACATTTATATTGCTGGTCATTTTATAGTTAACTCTGGGCAGAGTTTTATAGCAACAATTGTATTGGTTTTCCCAAGCTATTTTTATGTACTGTGAAACAATAGCATATAAATAGTGCTGCAGTTGTTTTCCACAGTAAATCCTTTTTACAGGTAAAACCACTTCCGATGATTTCATGCCAAAAGAAACTAGAGAAGCTAGAGAAGAAAAAGTAATCCTTCTAAATGCTCTGGCCTGATTCACAAATTCACAGCAAAATTGGAATGGATTTGAGATAATGTGTTGGTATCTATGGATACCATAATTGCACCCAAAATTTAAGTGAGACATTTGTTAAGTGAATGTTGCCCCATTTATGGCCTTTCTTACCACAGTTGTTAAGTGAATCATTGCAGTTGTTAAATCAGTAACACAGTTGTTAAGCAAATTGGCTTCCCCATTGACTTTGCTTGTCAGAAGGTTGCAAAAGGAGCACGATATTGGGACATTGCAACTGTCATAAACATGAGTCAGTTGCCAAGCATCTGAATTTTGATCAAATGACCATGGGGATGATGCAATAGTCATAAGTCACTTTTTCAGTGCCGTTGTAACTTTGAACAGTCACTAAATGAACTGTTGTAAGTTGTGGACCTGTAATCAGCTGAAAATGAAAAGATTGAACAGTTTTCCCTTAGGTCTTAAGAAAGCAGAATTATAAGTCTGTTGGGTTTTGCCTTTTGTCTTCAATAAGAGACTTGTGGTGTCAAAACAGCTATAGTAATTTTCTTTTATGCATAATCTTTTCATGCAATCTTGGGGATCAGCAAGGTTTTTTCCCCTAGAAATCAAAATCTTTTGGATTTGGTGCAGAAAGATGTATCTCTTGCTTTATTGAAAGGGATTGTGTTTCCATGGAATATGGCATCACATAAGATATTCTACCTTTATGGTGAACAGATAAGTTTTAGACCTTACCCTCTGAGGAATGGTACCTGAGTATTGCTTAATGAACTATGGCACTAAAATCTGACATAGCCTAGTTTCTTGCCATATTAGGTATATCATTTGGTGTGTCACCATCATGCTATTTTAAGCAAGTGTTTTTCTTCATAATAAAGTGACAATAACAATGACAATGTTTCTACAGCTGAGAATGGTGCCATCTTAGATCTTAACTTGGAAATACTGGGTTTGTTCCCAAGGTATCTATTGTAATAATGTCCAACTGTTCTTTCATCTTTTGGTCTCAGTATTTCAGACTATACAGATAGGACTTATAACTTTACTTCCAGGAAGCTTCCTCTATTTCACTGAGCACAAAATCTTGGAGGGAAGCGATGCTATATGGGGATGTTATGTTCTCTCAAAACTATTTCCTTACAGCAACCATTGAGAGGATATAAAGCCTGCCCACCTTTATGCTATCTTGGACAACAATTACTAGATAATGCTGTAAGATGTAGCGAAGGACTAATTAATAAAGAGCTTAATGGAATTAGACACAATCTCCTTGTACAGACATGTTTGGAGGGAGTGGATCTTGGCCAGATACAACCTGATGGGTGTCTGCTAACCCCTCCCCCCAATTATTTCTACTTTTGGCACCAGCTTGCATTTGCTCTTTCTCTTCAAAGTAAATTGCTAAAGAAAGGGAATAGCAAATATCTACTGGTACTGATATAAGCTTTTTGATGTTGATATATCACACCTATTGATTCTTCATTCCTTTCTTTGGGATATTTCATTCACATTAGGTCCTCCCTAAATGGGTGAATCCGAGTTGCTAAACCATACACATTTGTGCTCCTGGCGATGCCTGATCAGTTTCCAGGGTTTGCTAGTAACAGGAAGTCAATAATAGCACTAGCAATAGCACGTAAGACTTATATACTGCTTCATAGTGCTTGCCCTCTCTAAGCAGTTTACAGAGTCAGCATCTTGCCCCCAACAATCTGGGTCTCCATTTTACCGACCTCAGAAGGATGGAAGGATGAGCCAGTGAGAATCGAACTGCCAATTTTCAGGCAGGCTGCAGTACTGCATTCTAACCACTGCACCACCTTGGCTCTTAATGAAAGGAAAGAGATTCTTCTGCAAAAAGCAAAATCCCATCAAGCTTAATTCCTAGTGACTTCATGGACACACCCCTACAGTTCAGATGTGCTTTAGCACTACATTGTTCCAAAATGTTTTTTTTTCCAGCTTTGTACACTACAGCCCCATTGTGAGGGGTTTACCCATTTATAGGCTTACCAGATCTAACCTGCTTAACCTTTCAAGAACTGCTGCTACTGCCACCTACCTCCACAGTATTTATTTTAACACTCTGCCTGTGATCTATCTCAGAAGTTCAGCATTAGTAAACATTGTTTACTAAACAATGTTAGTAAACATTGCTTATATTTAGATGGGGAATTCCAGCATTGTTGGGAAGTTGAACAAAATATCCCTCAAAATGGCAGTGGCAAAATAGTTTCCCAATGCTGTCAAGGAATCCACATGGATATCATCACTAGGCATTAAGCTTGATTTGAGGGCACATTCAACTTTTGAACACATTGTTTTGTTCCATACTTTCTGCCAAAAAGCTTAGGTTTAAACATTAAGAAAAATATTCTCGGACAATTTAATTTTTAAAAAATGTAAAAATATTCTTAAGAAATAAGAATAGAAGAAATATTCTTTGGGTGTTTCAGTATTAGCAAAACCACTCTATTTTACATACTGGAAAGAATCGTTTTCTGGATTTATCTAAGGGGAAGCACTTTGAAACGTATGAACCCACCTTTAGACTTAGACTAACTTTGTCACTTTGAATGTACACGAATCGACATACATTAAAATGAAATTTCATTGCATACAGCAACAGAACCCGGCTTTGGGTAACAAACTAATGTATCTTTTGGCAAAGGATTAACAACGTCCCGTCACTTTAAAGGAAAACAGCAGGTTCATATGCTGAACTCTAGTTCCCTCTGCAGAAGAAGCTCGACTGAATTCATTCCTAAAATTTCGCACCCCCGTAGCTTTGCAGCCAATTCAGTGCATTATTTCTATAGTTGAACTTCTATAGTTTTTCATTAGACACATACGAATCCATTGCGGCTGTACATAACAGCACTCCTTTGAACAGCAAGAGCCATCCATATACACAGCCGAACAATTCGTATGCATTCAGCAGGGGTCTCCAACCTTGGCAACTTTAAGACTAGCGGACTTCAACTCCCAGAGTTCCTTAGCCAGCAAAGCTGGCTGAGGAACTCTGGGAGTTGAAGTCCGCTAGTCTTAAAGTTGCTAAGGTTGGAGATCCCTGATTTACAGGACGAACACACCAACGCCTCCATCGGAATCGCCCAGATCCCGCGAAGAAATTCAATTAAGCCACACCGAGTTTGCGCACCGCTGCTTCTATTGGCCCAACGTCACCGCGGTTTCCCACCAATAAGCGGCAGGCGTAATCCCATTTCCCCGCCCACTCGCTCCGTTCCCGCTCCGACGGCCGCCGCCTCGTAATGACGATGGGGGGGAATGGGCGGGGCCTACCTCAGGCCCTTCCCCCCCCCGAAGAGCCGTTGGGGCTGCCAATCGTGTCTAGGGACGCGGCGCGAGCTGGCGGGATCACTCTCTTCCCCCACCATCACCACCACAACCAAGAGCGAGGATGGCGAGGCCGGGCTGCTTGAAGCACCACAAGGTAAAAGCGTCTTTACTCGAGGAGTGCAGGGAAGAATAAACCCGTTTCGGGGGGGCGGGGGAAGTGTGGTTGAAGATCTCCACTGAGTGCAAGGAAATAAGTGCAAGACGTATTTTGCTTTCGTTCCCCCCCTTTGGTTGCAGAAAGGGTGGCGGGGTTTTCCAATACTTGAAGGGCAGCCACAAAAAGAAATGAGGGTCAAATTATTCTCCAAAGCATCAGAGAGCAGGACAAGAAACAACGGCTTGGAAACTAGTCAAAGAGAGAAGCAACCTGGAATTAAGGAGAAACTTTCTAACAGGACAATTAACCAGTGGAACAAGCTTCCCTTCAGAAGTTGTGGGTGCTTTACCACGGGACGTTTTTAAGACGAGATTGAACAGCCACTTATCTCAAATGCTTTAGGGTCTCCTGCTTGAGTAGGGGGCTGGACTAGAAGACCTGCAAGGTCCCTTCTGACTCTATTCTGTAATATATGTAAGAATATATAGAAGGGAACTTGGAGGTCTTCTTGTGTTGTCCTTATCCTTAGGTGTGATTAAAATGTGTATATCTAGTTATAGATAGATAGATAGATGGGTAGAGATAGAAATGTCCAGTTTAATTAAAAGAAGAACTAGTATCTTAAGGGGCTGCCACAAAGAAGAGGCGGTCAGCCTATTTTCCAAAACACCAGAGAGTAAGACAAGAAACAATGGATGGAAACTAATCAAGGAGAGATATAACCTAGAACAAGAAACTTCCAAACAGTGAGAACAATTAACCCAGGGGTTGCCAACCTTTTGGACCTCAGGGACCACCAAACTCATAATTTTAAATCCCAGGGACCACTAACCGGTTCTGTGGGCGTGGCCTAATTTGTGGCTGGGGCTTGGTGGTCATGTGACTGGCTGGGCATGGTTTGTATGTAAATATTATAAATATTTATATTAATATTGAATTTTTTTACAAAAAAATAGCAACTTTTATCCAAAATCAGGCAAAGCAGGCAGGCAGATTGAGTTGCTCACAGAATCATTCAGTGATCTATCTGCCATCGTCTAACTCAGTCTCTCAAATTTGCTTGCCATGAGTCTGCATTGAATACTAGAACCTTCAGTCCTAAGGGAGGTTCGGCTGTGCTTAAAAGCAGAGCCGAAGACCTAAAGACTAGCTATAAAGCAAGAAACCCAACCATTTCCTGCTTCCTAGCTAATCTAAATATCCCGGCACAGCAGAACAGATGATGCTCAGAAAAAGGAAAAATAGCAATTTAGCAGGCAAGTTTGCCAGGTAAGGAGTGAGTGGGCGGGGAGGGTTCCCATGGGCCATGTGGGAGGCACAGCCTTGTGTTTCTGCACAGCCTGGATTAATTGCTCTGGGAGTGAGATTTCTCTTTGGCCCACCAAAATTTTCTTGCGGCCCACCTGTTGGCGACTGCTGAATTAACCCACTTGTCTCCAAAAGTTGTGGGTATTCCATCACTGGAGGTTTTTAATAAGAGACTGTTTCTATTTGTTGAGAAAGAACAGTAATCCACCGAAATAGCAACAGTTAACTCTCTGAATGGGATGTGCAATGCATTTTTGATATGGCACTTAAGAGCAGGATTGAAAAGCAACTCCTTAAGATAGATAAATAGATAGAATTCTTTATTGGCCAAGTGTGATTGGACACATAAGGAATTTGTCTTTGGTGCATATGCTTTCAAAGAAAAAAAATTCATTCATCAAGAATCATAAGGTACAACAGTGATAATCATAGGTTACTAATAAGTAATCAAATCATACTAGGAAACAAAACAATATAAATTGTAAAGATTACAAGCAACACGGTTACAGTCATAAGTGGGAAGAGATAGGTAGTAGGAAGGATAAGAAGAAGAATAGTAATACAGTCTTAGTAAATAATTTGACACAAAACTCTAAAGGGTTTAGAGTGAGATGCAGACTTAGATTTCTTGCAACAGGAAGTATATCTTTTGAGGAGGAAGAAGCCTGGATTCAACACCTTTTTAATAATAATAATAATAATGGTAAAAATAAGGCATATTCATTTTGTAAGACGCTCAGGGTGGCTTCAATAATGAGATGTGCGGCATATAAAATTAAATTGACTAGTGTGTGTGTCTGGAGTGAGGTTAATCCCTCACTCCAGATACACACACTGGTCAATTTAATTTTAAGTTTAAGTAACTGAAAGTTCTGACTCTGCCTGTTGTAATATCGGCAACATTGTGTTGCTGAAGTGAGGACAGTTTGCAAGAACCAGGAGTGATTTTTTTGGACAGGATAGTGAAATTTTACCAGTTGGAAGCAAATTGTTGGACTCAAAATTCTTTTAAGTATGTGGCATTTGCCTTTGGTTGGATCTCAAGATTCTGGTAAGAAAGAAAATAAAATCTACAACTGTGTTGATCTCCAGTGTCTACAATGAGGGGAGCAGAGAAAGGCCATTCAGACAAACATAGAAGTGGTACCAGTAGGTCAGACCACTTTATATAGGGACCCCCCCAACCATCCTGTGAGATCAGAAAGAGACAGACTACTCCCAAGTCCTTAGTAACCTTGCTGGGTTGAGGGTGGATTCTTGACCCTTTAACCATTATATTTATCGCATTGGAGATTAGGTTAAGGGTGGCAGGATAACAACAAAACCATGACATTGTGATTCTGCTCTTTTTGTCCATGATATGATATGATACAGTTATACAAAAGTGGCACTTTTGTGGCATGACATTAGCGTCCTGACAAAAGCATCCAGCTCTTGCAGAAGCATATAACTTCATTAAGCTTGACTTTATTTGATTTATTTATTAAATTTATACGCCACTCCTTTCACCAATAAGGTGACTGATCAAAAAGTAAAAAAAATATCAAAACAATTACAACTTTAAAAAGCTCTATAGATTTGCGTTAGTCTTCTCTAAAACCACTGTTCATATATAAAAATAATCTTACATTTGTATCACATTTATTCATGTATTCATAAAGGGCCAGTTCTGAGAAACATTTGGACAACCTGAAGTATATTTCATCCAGTATCCTTAAGTCTATCAATACTAAAGATAGAAAACAAACAGCTTTTTAAAGGGTAGTAGGGCATTTACATTCCATTATACTTCCCACTTGTTGAAACACTAAATAGCACTGTTTATGCTACTTATGATTTCAGCTACCTAAAATAAGTGTTGTTTATCTACATTCAAATCATGAGTTGCCAATATTAAAAAAAAACAGTATAATCCTTTCCAGCTGCCTTTCATCCTCATCTACATCTGTTGGATAATTGCAGATGTTGTTAATACCATCTGTGTAACCATGCCCTTTCTGGGTAATTTCATATTTATCTAATATGAATATCACTGTAGGTACAAGCACACATTCTGAAAACTGCAAGCTCAATCACTTAAGTTAGTTGTACAATCAGAAATTGCATAGTTGTTTTTTGAGGCTAAAAAATATGAAGGCCCAGAAAGTTTCAGGAAAAGCTTACCACATTGCTTGTTATGTTTTTGTTTTGTTTTGTTTTACCTCTCCTCCCACCCCAGGACTTCACATTTCTTGTTGTAGTATAGAGTAGTTAATGGAATTTGGTTGCCAATTCATATGTGTTATCTATTATTCAAAATATTATTATTCATACTGTTTGTGAAAATATGTTAATTTAAAATGAAAAACCTGTTTTAAATTCATCCCCTCTTAAGAAGTGAATTAAGTTAACCCATATTTATAAATATTCAGAGACGCTAAATTGCTACAGATTGTTGTGTTTAGAGGTTACTTTGCATTACTGTCATATGTTTCATTCTAAACCCATGCATTTTTAATTATTTATTATGCTGACATAGAATTTTTCCTTCATAAAATATTTATTTTAAATAACTATGCCATTGTAAACAAATATGCCATTGTTTGCAAACCAGATGTGATGGACTTGTTGGAAAATTTATGTGAAAATGAGTCATTTCTCATACAATCAACAGGCATTGACTTCAGGAAGGTTGACAGGATCAACTAAACTGACAAACTGGAAAAAACAGTAAGGATATCTTCATTAATTATGATGATAATGATGCTATTTGTTCAATCGTCCAATTCTTAGCAATTCTGTGGATCAGCTCTCTCCACGTTTTCCAATCTTGTATGGCTCTTTCAATTTTTTTTTATGCTCTGGCTAATGACAGCTTTGATGGTGTCTAGCCATCATGGTTTTCAGTGACCTCGCTGACCATTCCAAGCCTAACTGCCCTTTCTAGTAAATTTGATGGCATGACATAGCCGAAATAAGTAAGGTGAAATTTTGTGATGTTTCCTTCCAGGAGTGTGTCTGGTTTTATATGCTCCAGTGCTTGTTTATTTGTCACTTTTGCTGTCCAAGGAATGCACAGGAGTCTTTACCAACAATCTTCATTAGTATATATCAACATTATCATTGACATGTAAAGCAGCTAATTGTTAGTATTCTTCTAAGTCAGAGATGAAGCTATACTTATGTGTCCTGATCATTGGCTGTGTTAGATTAAAATGCTAGAATGAAATCCAACAGTATTTCAAGGACTGTTAACTTCCCCAGGCTTGCCACTGATATCGTTCCTATTATCTAACAAAAATCCCAGTTTTGTAGATAACAAGGCATTTAAAATGCTTAAGATTCGTTAACAAAATATCTTTCACCCCATCATCCAAGTGATACAAGTGATAAAGAACTGTAGGAGCCTTGTTCAATTTTAGGCTCTCTAGCTATACTGACACTGGCAAAGATGCAATCAATATACTGTATATTGAGAGCAGGGCACTAAACTGGAGAAGACTGTTAAGTCTCCTATCTCCATAAAACCTGTACCTTTCAAGATTCTAAACTATCCAGAAAATCTGTCTGCTATAGATAGTCCTCTTCTTGATAAGCCTGGTGTTGTACACAATGTAGTATGCTTATACAATGTAGTACGCTTGAAAATGTTAAAGTACCTTCAGACTATTGTTCTAATATAATTGCTTACAGAGCTTCTTCTGCAATTGAATTTTAGTATGTCTAATTTCCTAATAATAAATGTTGACATTATTTAATTTATTTAAGTCCCACCTTTATTATTTTTAGAAATAACATGAGGTGGCAAACATATCAAATGCACCTTCCTCCTCCTATTTTCCCCACAACAATAGCACTGTGAGATGTGTTGGGCTGAGAGAAAATGAGTGTCCCAAAATCACCTCACCAGCTTTCATGGTTAAAGTGGGACTTGAACTCCCGGGCTCCCACTGTCTAGCCTAGATCAAGCTGGTTCTCTGTAATAATTACAAATCATTGTTTTGTAGCCTGTTGAACAGTTTATCGGGATATCATTTCTGTCTTTCAGGATTGCTCCAAAAAAAGTAGCATATACAGAGTCTGATGCTGGCTATTCCCTGTATTCCACAGATTCAGAGGATCAGGTAAAAAGAGAATGTGATGCAAAAATCTACCCTGAGACTTTTGTTTGCAACCTTTTCATCTATGTTATATTTTATAAGACGTACAGTCTATCATATATGTACATTAATTAAATTGTTTAATTAAAAGTAATATTTATATTTATCCAATGCAAATTAGAGTTTACATGGAAAGGGGAATGTCAGATGTTCGAGCTGGTTTTAGAAAAGGTCAGGGAACATGAGGTACTGCTGATTCACAATTGATAATTAGATAGCCAAAGTATACCAAAAAGAAGTTAGCATGTGCTTCCCTGACTTTAGAAAGACCTTTGAATGCATCAACTGAGTCAACCTGTGGAATGTCCTTTCAGAAAACAGGAGTTCCAGAGCATCTCATTTCCTCATATGAAGTCTATACAGGTAGTCCTCAACTTAAAACAGTTCCTTTAGTGACCATTCAAAGTGACAACGGCATTGAAAAAAGTGACTTATAACCATCCCTCTGGTCATGTGATTTACATTGGGATGCTTGACAACTGATTCACATTTGTGATGGTTGCAGAGTCATATGATCACCTTTTGCAACCTTCTGACAAGCAAAGTTAAGGGGGAAGCAGGATTCACTTTACAACCGTGTTACTAAACTGCAGTGATTTATTTAACAAATGCGGCAAGAAAAGTCATAGAATAGGGCAAAACTCACTTAACAAATTTCTCACTTAACAACATATGTTTGGGGCTCAATTGTGGTCATACATTGAGGACTGCCAGTACACAGGACAGGGAGCCATAGTCTAGAGCCAGCAGGGTGAAACAGGTCAGCAGAGGAATGAGATAAGGTTGCACACACTCTTTTTGTTTCTGCAACATATGTGCTTTATGAAAAGTGAAAATTAGAAGTAGGATAGAAAGAGTATTAATGTTTTTTGAATTTGGATTTTGGCAAAAATCTCTGAGAATACCATGAAGAGTTGTTTGTATACGATAGCCATGCATGTGTTAAAAGGAATTTTGAAATTTTTTGTTTAGTGCATGTGTATTAAACAAAAATTTTGTCTAGTACACAATATTTATGTGTCCCTTTTCTAGATTGCATAATTTTAAACATTTTATTTCAACCATACAATTGGATTCTCTCTAAATAAAAGAATCATGCCAACAGGAATTATAGTAATCCAGAAATGAATATTCTTTGTCTGGCTCTTTTTTCCTATCACTTTCCCTTACTGAATATTATAAACAGTTTGAAGTTTCATCAAAGTCAGATCCTGGAACTCAAATAATTTAATGGGGGAATGTTGTTATTGCTAGAATATTCACTAACTTTGAGAATAAAGGTAAATTAATGAGCTTGCTTCCTAGGCTAGAAGCTGCCTTTTGTAATCTTCTTAATATCTTTTCTGAGGTTGTAAATATTCATCATGGCCTTGATCGCTGTGCATCTTTGCTAAGGGATATTCTTCAGAATGAGTCCCAAGGTAACAATTCTTTTCATTATTTGAATATAAAGTTCATATCCTTGATAGCTTATCTTGTGGCTTAAATGGTTTGTTTTTTTTCAAATGATGCTAGGCACGGCGGGCAGCTCTCAAAAAGCAGTGAAAACAACTACTTTCAGAGCAGCTCCCAGACCTTTGCTGAATAAAATGGGTGCTGCTAAAAAGCGAGGTATAAAGAAAAAAACCCTTTCAGCAAATGTGCAAAAAGAAACAGGTATGCACTTTTTCTTTAAATAATAATTTTTTTAAACCATGCATTTATCTCATTCATTCATCATTCTGCTTCAATTACATAATAGTTACAGGATGTAATTTTTGCCTCCAAAACCTGAATGTCTGGTTTTCTCTATAGATAACATACCATTGAAAATACTCAATAGATTTGTTTCATGAATGTGTGCCTTCATCCACCAACTGAATATGTTTTGTATTTATTGGAAGGGGTTAAGTGAGAATGTTAAGCTAGATGTAAATCACTATATAACAGTCATAATTCTTGGTTTATGTCTTACTAAAAATAATGATGGTTTCTGCTTAAGAATATAACTAATGTTACATGAATATAAACATGTTATTTCAAGCTTTTTTACCATAGCTACAAATCCATAGCTGCATTTATTTAAAAAAAACTTGCAACAGCAAAATTCTCAAATCCAAACAATTAGTTCTGCATCTGGATAATATTAAAGATATTAACAAGCTAAGCATTTTCCATTCTGTTTTTTTGTAGCATCTGGGTTAAATAGAAAGGTAGTTTCAGGTAATGAAACTGCAGCTGAAAAAAACGTAACTCCTCCAAGCACCAAACAAGCCTTTTTTGTTAAATCGATTCATGGACCTTGCACTCAGAATTCTCCTGTAATGCACCAGAAATTGTGTGAGCATGCACAGTCCCAAATGCCTCTCTTGAATATCCATCCTCCAGTGAAATCTAGTGATAGTCCTGATGTCCCACTTTCCTTCATTCCTGAAGAGGGTAAGTGTGGAAGCAGTTTGGCTGTCGTTATGCACTGTGTTCATTTGTTCAAAAATTAATCATAGTGTTGTTAATTGTTTGGTGCTTGTCCTCCTTTTAGCAGCATATCAATCCGCTACAGCATTCAACGGCCATCTGCCTACTTCCACACCAGCACTATCCCCACAGCAGGCAGTTAATCCTTCTGTTGTTCACCCTGTAAGTAGTGAAGTAGTGTAAGTGTTTGATTTGTATTTCCCTGTTTTATCCTAAACATGTTGCTAAAAGCAAAATGTTAAAATAGAACTGTTGTAAAACAATGCACGCTAGTCATGACTGAACTTGTGATTGGATTTGGGATGGGTAAAGAAAAAAGGCGCTTGAACTTCAATTCCTTTTGGCTTTCATCCACAAGTTGAACAGATACTGTATCTTTAGAACCTTCAGAGGAGGAGCAACGGATACATTTTATTTTAAATTCAACATGCTGTGTTCTTAAGCAGAAATCCAGCTGTTCCCAATAGCCAAGTTGTTTTGAGGCCCTTTGTATTTATTAATTTGTTCCTGAATGTTTGTTCTCCCTTCCCCCAGTTTGTCTAAATTCTGCAACTTCTCAAATATGTGCAAATTGAATTTGCGGGTTACCTCTTCTAAAATTTCTCTTGCCACTTCAGTTCTGATCATTACAATTGAAGGAAACGGGGAGAGGTAGCAAAACTGTTTTAAAAATCCAAACACTTGCATATTCCAATTTTCTCTATTCCATGTCATCTATTTTTGCCCTGGTGACAAAAAATCAAGTCATTGTTGTTTTCTTTGTTGTATACAAAAGTAAAAGATATGTCATGCTATCGTAGAAGAAGAAGCATTTTTCAAAGTTCGCTCTAATTTGCAACAGTACTGAAATTCCCATACATATTTGCCATTTCTACTGTTGAACGTTACCAGGTTTAATTAGTTACTAAAGAAGTCTGTTTCCAAGCAAGCATTATTCTCTGGTATTGGATTGTTGTCATATTGTTTAATAGCAACTTGTTTGCTCATACAATAGGTGCTTAAGGTATGGAAAATCTTACACTCCATTCCCTTTTAAAATTGTAATTAATTGTAAATTAATGTAATTTGAATTGTAATTAACTTACAAGTATATAAGTTCAATATATTTTAGCATGGCAGAACATTGCTTGTGTATGTATACTTGTCACAGGGCCTTCCCATGGACACCTGCAGCCAGTGCGTCTCACGAATGGGGCCGGCCCTTGTATCCAAAGGCTTCAGGACTTCTGCTTCTATGGCTCAGACACAACCATCAGCTTTGTGCTCTGCTCCATCCCATGTAGCTCCCTCTGGTCCAAGCAACCTCCCATCCTCAGCCATCCTCGCTCCATCTCCTGGCAGAGAGGCCGTGTCAGAAGGAATCCACAAAGAACAGTTTAATGAGGCAGAGTTGATCAGATGCATTCAAGCACAGCTGGCTCTGTTGCAGACACGGGAGAGGGAGCGTGAGCAGAAGGAGACTATCAGAAATTGCCCAGATGTTGACCCAGTGCCATCCAAGCCACTCATTTCCAAAGAACCGGAGATAACTGAAGAATACAATGAAGGCACTTTAAGTGAAGAGGATGCCTTAGATGGCATTGATATGGCACCTGTGAGAGAGACAAGCTGCCAAACTAGTTTCAGCACAGAAATCTTAAAGCCTCAAAAAAACAGCCTGCAGAAAAGAGTCCAAAAAGTGAAAACTGTGAAGTATCTTTGGGCAGAGCTCAAGGCCTTGCTAACTGACCACGGTAATATGACTGTTCTTATTATGATTTGCTGGGAGGAACACTTTGTGACTTGTGAATATGATCAGTCCCGAGGTGGCCTACTAGTGTCACTTGCTGACTTGGTTAGATATGGTTTTAAGATATGCTCATATTGTGTGCTTTGGTGTAGTGGCTAAGGTGCAGGCCTAGAAACCAGGAGAGACTGAGTTCTAGCCCTTCTTTAGGCATGAAAGTCAGCTGGATGACTTTGGGCCAGTCTCTCCCTTAGTTCAATCTAGCTCACAGGGTACTTGTGGAGAAAATATGCAGGACTACAGGGCTCAATTGTCGTAAGTTGAGGAATACCTGTATTAGGGATGTTCACTGCTTATATAAAGGTGAGATAAAATGATGATAATGATATTTATTATCATCATATGGGAGCAACTCACCACAGAAAAAGTGCTCCGTTTAATGTGAGTAGAAAATATGATAACCTCAAAACAAACTTTGATCAAACAGCAGAATCTTTTGATAAGTTATCCTGCTGGATTAAACATATTCTTTGATCATTTTTATCTTGCTTTGCTGCAAAGTAGCCAATATAATGGTTAAGTTGTTGAACTAAAATCAGGGAGATACAAATTAAAGTATATCCTCAAAACGGAAGCTTTTAGGCCAATCGCGACCGCTTAGCCTTAGCCCAACCCATCTCATGTTGTTGCATCAAGAAACACAAACCTGTTAATGCAAAATAAGCTTCTGTTTAACTTCCCTCATTTGATTTCCTTATTTTGAAATTACTTGTAATCTGATCAAAATAATTTTGGGTTATTTATTGATTTAATAATCTTGTTTAAATTCATCCATCATAAATCACTTTGTAGTAAATAGGACAATTGCAGCATTTTTAAAAACTTAATGATGATTGGAAATAGGCAATTACAAACAATAACTTTGCTCCTATCTTGCCCTGCTCTGGGCAAACTAATGAATGCCAAAATTTACCATGAGAATTTTATATCGACAAAATGAAGATTTTGAACTTTTGCACTTTTGAATGCACTTTTACTTTCCCATTGGTGTTGCATGGTCTGCAAAAATAAATCATGATAGAAGTAAAGACTTGAGATTTTAGTCTTGTTGGGTCATGTTTCCAATCTTACATTTTGTTCAAGAAGCCACAATTCTGTGCTGTTTTTACCATTCTGAAATAAAAAGTATAAGGCAGTGAGGGAATGTTGAAGCCTCAAATAAGAACTGTCAGTGCTATATAAATGGAAACCTGTCACATTTCTTGGTCCTCATCTTAAAACAACCTATTTGAAGAGTGGGCCCTGTTTTTCATATATTATATGGCAGTTGATAGAGAAACCTAACATAGATGCCAAGAATCATGCATTGGAAACCTGTTCAGCCCATTCATATTAGGATGATAAACTTGATTGTCTACAATAATACTTTCTGAAGAATGGCTATTTGGCTATCTGTGAAAATACATTTTTCCTTTTTTTCCTCTCACTGAAGATTCAGAAATGTTAGGGGTGCTAGATGAAATAGATGACACCACGTCACTCTTTCCTGTAGCTGCTGAGAATACAAATGTACAAGCTGAAATAGCACTTGCCCTTCAGCCTCTCAGAAGTGAAAACGCCCAGTTGCGCAGGTCAGTAAACAAGAGAAAAACATTGTACTTAAGGCGACAGCGGTGGTTCACCAGATTCCAAATTTAATCTAATTATAATACAGTGAGCATTGTGTTGGGATTCTGAATATATAGATACTTGTTATTTTGGCTTGATGTCAATCACTTCAAAAAAATTGAAAATCACATCACATCTGGACTGAATCCATATCTTCTTGAGCACAGCAACAAAGCTACTCCCAGAATTTCCTCTTCTCTTCTCAGAATAAAGCTGAATCCAGGGCATATTCTGACAATGGCAGATATGTAATAAATGGGGAGGGAGGCTTTGGTGTTTGAAAGAAAGTTTATCTCAGGATGGGCAGATTTTACTTTTTTTCAGTCAAAGTGAGGAAAAAGCACTGGTGGGAGGGCATTTTTAAAGTTGCACCCAACTAACAAATCTATTTGTTAACGAAGAAAGTATTTTTTTAAAAAAAATCCCTGCCTTTTATTGTAGACAACTGAGAATTTTGAACCAACGGCTGAAGGAACAAAACAGAGCTGAAAAGGAATGTAGCCTGGATAGCAACTTGGAAGGTAAGTAACAAGGTATAAATGTTTAAGCATGTATTAAACTCACTTTCAATAGCGTCTGAGAACTGGAAATATTTTGACATATTTCTAGAAATGTTGTGATTTGCTGGAATATGGACGGATTCTGTGTGCTTCTCTGTACTTAGTTATTATATTAGTTCTATTAAAGCCACACATCATATATGGTTCTCCTCTTCTCTCTTTCCTACTTTTATCCTCATATTATGTTTGTGGCCTACAATAGCACTGATGGGATATTTTAAGGATAACTGGCATTTTGATTCCGAATGTGATAATTGTATTTTCTCTGCAAAGATGATGGAAATATTTTATTAAGGGTTCAGCAAAGGCTAGATTTTGAGGCATTCTTCTGGGTGAGGGAAATGTTTCACATTGGAAAGAGAATGGAGTTAACACTCTGGCCCCACCTGTTTTTTCTAATTTACATGAATCACAGAGATCTCAAAGAATTCTTTATTTATTTTTGTCTAACTGTGAGTGCAGCTGGCCAAACATACTGGGACTGGGTTGTACTCTGGTTATTGGTTGTATAGAGAGAGATATTCAAGTTCAAGTAAATGCAAGTATTCTTCAGAGTTTTGGATGGGTGTATGATGATTAGAGAAGATAAAAAGAGACTGCAGGTATGACCTTATTCTTCACCCAGTTTAAAAGCGTCTTTGTGTTTGTACAGGAACAAAGCAATAATATTTACTAATATCTTTTTATAAATTACCTTCAGGGTAACTATAGTCCTTGACAAGAAACTTTATGAGTGTAATACAGAATATGAATATCTGCCAGATGCACTGAAAACAGCAAAAAGAGTAGTTGATTGTCACTTGTCATACTGTCTTGTATTGAATGTCACTGGCAAATTGTATCATTCCAGAGATTAGGCATAAAATATTGGCTGCATAATATTTTATACTGTTTTAATGCCTCCCTCTCATAAAACACAAGGTGATGTACTGAGAAATATAACAATAAAATACAGCTATAAATTGTCAACCATAAAAGAGTCTGCAATTCATTATTCATGACGCATACTGCTAAAAGTGCCACCCCAGGCAATAAATGCCCATTATTGCCACCGCCTTCTGAAGTGCCAGAAGTCTAGAGTCAGGTGTGTTGCTGGGGCAATGTATTTCATGCAGACTTAAGAGCCCTACAGTAACACATCTCAGAGGTTAGAAGAAAGTGCCTTCTTTTTTTTCAGTTAAACAAGTGAAATATTTGTCCATGAACCGTATATCTGAAAGAACTGTTATGTTTTCCTCTCGTAGTTGTGTCCCTCCAGTCTTTGAATATGACGTTGCAGGGTCAGTTGAATGAATCCATGAGAAGCATTGAGTTGTTGCAAGATAAAAATGAAGAATTCATTAAAATCCTAGAAAGCCAAAAAGAGGAAAACAAAAGACTAACTAGACAAATCCAAGAGAAAGAACAAGAGCTTCTTGAAAAGAAACAACAGCATGATATTGACTCAACCAAACTCAAAATCGGTATGTAAGTTGGCAAACTTTGGGGCAGGTCCAATCTTTGTGCATTTATAATGGAAATTAAATCTCATTGGTTTCTGATATATTCTAGAAGCAGATGAAATGTTGACCAATGTGAAGACTTACCAGTACAAGTTTGAAGCCGCTGAAAAAGAAAAGCAGATTTTGGGCATAACATTGCGTCAGCGAGATGCAGAAGTGAATAGACTGCGTGAATTGACCTGGTACTGTTAACCTTATTTATTTCTCTTAGTGTTTCAAATCCACTTAGCAAAATTGTACAGTGCCCCGGAGATTTAGAACAATAAATTGAGAAATGTATCTTTGAAAAAACATTGAAAACCTCAATAAATTTAGATTTGGGGAAGGAAAAGCTACCAAATGGAATAATATTTGATTTCTTTATTTCACATTCTAAAGACTTGGACAATGTCGCAGAATTATTGATGGAGGATGGGAAATATTATTTATTTTACTAATATATGAATTCTCGGTATAATTGTCAGCCACAAGGTGGTGGCAGTGACTCATGTAGGAAATTGAAACCTGATTTATTGAAAAAAAAACTTTTGTAATAATAATGTATATTAATACTATTTACATTGTGGATTTTAATCCCTATTTTATTTCCAATAGAGGTACATTACTTAATGCTGTCAAGTGGTGTTTTAATACTCCAAGGCTCTCACATGCACATTGTAGCCTCAGTTAGATGGAAAATCCTCTCTGGAAGTGCAGTTCTTTATTTTGACTTGAACATTGGGGGTATATTAATGAAGCCTATTCTAAAGGTTACAATATTAGCAATTCTAGAGGACTAGTAGAAAGGCTGAAGGAAGCATGTGTATTAAATGGAGGGTGGCTTTAATTATGTCTGATAGTGAGATACATAATCAGATGTGATTAAAGGACCAGATTATCTTATATTTACTTTTTTTATAAAGCAAATATTTCATGTCTTCATAACTGTGGTTTATAAATTAATTTATGAACTTCTTTCTAATATTGGTCCACCTTAAATTTCAATCTTATTTTGTTCTCTTGAAGATCAGCATAGGTAATTCTCTAAGGGTGGTGTGGTGCTTAAGATGTTAGATAAGGAGCTACTACAGGAGAGGCAAAATACAAAATAAATTTTATAAATAAATAAATAGATTAATATATATGATTTGTCATTCTATGAGAAAGATGGGGAATTGTAAGCAGTATAAATCCTTTACCTGCTGTTTTTTGCCCCTAGAGTTCCTGGCCCACATTCTACAGGAAAGCCACAAATTATTGACTGAAAATTCTCCCATGTGCTTTAGCTCCAAAAAGGTGCAAAATATTTTTGTCAAAATTCTATTTTTTGCACTGCAATACCATGTAGCAGCAAAACAATGCTGGAGAACCATACCACCACCAGCTGGGCATCTCTGAATACATTTTCTCCAGCCCTTAGAGATGGGGGAGAAATAGAAAGAAAAGGGCAGTTTTGGCTGTAAAATGGTTTCCCATTCTCCCCAGTGGAATGTACTTAGAGTTAGATGCCCTGATGCTTCAAGTATCAGACAGATTATACCCTGACTGGAATACATATCTATTCAGAAATGAGCCCAATTAGTGGTGCTAAGATTGTGCCTTGGATTTTCAAGCCTTTACACCTTTGTCTCATTTTGACATAATGTCTTGACATCTATGCTTTACAGGGCTCTTCAAGGGAGTATGTCAAAACTACTGTCAGATCTCACTGGGGATATGGTGAAGCCAAGACAAGTCAGCAGTTTATCGAAAGCTCTCTTGGAAATTCATGAGAAACAGTTGCAGCCTAATGCATACCCTCTAAGTGATTCCATAATAAACTATCTAAAAAAATTAGAAATGGATCCTGTTCCAACCAACATGGAGCTCCTCTTAAGTGAGAGTGAGATGAAGGAGCCCAAGGAAGTATTGGATGTGAGGGCGGATGAGCATCCTGCCCGAGAGAGTCAGGTGGTAGCAGAGGAAACTGTGGCTTCAAGAAATCTTCCTGCCTTCCAAAAGCTTGATGCAGAAGCAGCCAGTTGCTTAAGCACTTTAGAGGGTCATGAGCTAGATGAGACTATTTACATTCCACTGAGTAGCAGTCCATCTCAGAAACCAGTCACGACAACTGAAAGGAAGACAGTCGTACAACAGAACTCGATTCCCCACAAACTGGACTGTGACTCTAAGCAGCCAAGCAAGGTTGGGATGCTGAGCAATACCAAGATTGGTGATAAATTCTATGGTAGCTTTGGTCGAAAAATGACTGTTGAAAATAAATCTGAAACTCTGGGGAGGATAGAGAAGCTGGAAAGTGAGAGACTCCAAATGCAGCCAGAAGAAAGAACCAATGGGTCTGCTAATGTGATTTTGAACAATCCAGACAGACTTCAGCCTGGTAAACACTGTTACGCTCAAAAAGGAAATGGGCAGAAGAACGCTGGAATTTCTGCTTCTGACTCCAGTTTTTCCACTCTTGACTGGATGTCAGGAAAATCTGAGTGGACTATATCTTCCTTTTCAACGTTCACATCCAGAGATGAAGAAGACTTCAAGCATGGATTAGCAGCCTTGGATGCCAACATAGCAAGACTGCAAAAGACATTGCAGAATAGCTTGAAAAAACAAGGAGACTTTGAAAATACCTCAATAGTTCAGGATAACTAGGGAAAATGTACTTTTTAAAAAGCTTAGTGATTTGTAACCTTTTTTTATTCTTTTGAAACTTCGTCAGTGAATATCTTACTGATAAATTAACAGTTGTTAATTAAAAGGCTGTTTCATCACTGAAAACTTACTGATAAAATAAATCAAGGGCGAATTTCAAATGGATCTGCAAATTTTAATATTTACAGATGTACGATTGCTTTGAAATGTATTATTAAAGGAATAGTGGTTTTCATGAATGATTGATAAAGGCCAAACAGTGTGTAATATCTTTCTAGAATATGCATACTGGAAATATATTGCCATGGATGTCATAATAGAGAAGTTTTAATCTTACAACCTGTTGATTTGGCTAATAAGATTTTGGCCCATAACTTAAATGCAGGCTTACAAATACTTACTGCCCTCTTGCATATTTATATGCTTAGAATCGGAGATGGGAGAGGCCACATATTTCATCCAGTCCACAAATGTTTGCATACACATATACTCAGGTACTCGGTGCACGATTCTCTACAGATGCTTTTTGCAAATTGTGCAAAAGAAGATTATCTGTCTCTGAAGACTTCTAAGACAACTCACTATGTCAAGTAGCAGCCTCTTCCAATGACTGAAGCTTGTATTATCAAGATGCTCCTCCTGATATCCAACTATGAACATCTTTCCTTGTACTTTACTTCGTTGGTTTTAGGTCTACCCTCGAAGTCAATAAAGTCCCCTCCCTCTTCTGTGTGACCCTTAAAATATTTGAAGATTGTAATCATATCTGCCTTGTCACCAGCTAATCCTTTCAACCCAGAAGCACCTTAAACAGTGCTTCCAACATGAGTGGGACAGGGATCTTATCTGCCTTTAGTCATTTTTCTGTAGGGTAAAAAAACACCCCAATCCTTTGCCCTTCCTATGGCTTGGTTTCCAGACCTCTCTCCCTCTGAATTTTCTCCAGTTTTTCGTCTGGTTGAACCCTGGTGCTCAGGATCAGACACAGTTTCTGGAGGCTGGAATTAAAGCACAACACAATTTCTTCCAGCAAACTGGACTCTTTATGTTTCTGCTAATGCAGCTTTTATCATTTTAGCATCTGCATCAAACTATTGGCTAATTTTAATTTCTAGTCAACAAAGTCACTCTGATTGCCTTCATAATATAGCTCCTCCATATATTTGTGCCTTACATTTCTCATACCCATTTTTCTTTTATATAGCTTCCACCCTATTCCTATCAGCTCTCTATTCAAGACTTTAGATCTTCTACAATTTCAACCACTCCTCCCAATTTTGTGTCATCTGCAGACTTTATAAGTATTCCCTTAACTCCAAGTGATTGATAAAAATGTTGAATAGCAGAGGACAAGATAGCCCCGTGGCACTCCATTCAGCAATTCCACTGCAGCTTAAATAGAGCTGTTAATGAATGCTTTTAGGGTTTAGTAATTTAGTCAATAGTGAGTTCATCTCCCAATAGTATCTATTCCAGGGGTGTCAAACTCGTAGCCGGGGCTCAGATGCATCACACACTGGTCATGTTTTAGCAGAGGGGGGAAAAGTTGATATATGTCACATGAAAGAGCATTAGAAGGCACCATGTCAAAGGCTTTGCTGAAGTCGAAGAAGTGAACGCTTATGCCTACTGATCTACTAGATTCCTTACAAAAGGGAGTGTTTTGAGAATCTGTTTGGTCTGGTAGTTAAGGCACCAGGCTAGAAGCCAGGAGGCTTTCTTAGGCAAGAAAGCTCTCAGCCCAACTCACCTCACAGGATTGTGGGGAAAATGCAGGGAGTGGGAGGGACTAATGTGTTAGCCACTTCCAGTTATTTATAAAAATAATAGAGTGATAGAAATAGATAGGATATAGATGATGGTGATGGATGGATGGATGGATAGAAAACAAACTCATGTTGTCTCCTGTTAATTGTAGCATCCTTATCTAAGCACTGATAAATGTGCTGCTTGCTCATCTGTTTAGATGCCTTCATCCAGTATGGCCATTATACTGATAGGTTTGTAATTTCCCAGTTAACTCCTGACTGGTGATTTAAACAATTGTAGTTTCACTAATTCTTAATAGAGGAAAATGTCATCTTGACAGCTTGAAGTGTAATTACTTCCAACTTTGCTCATGGATGCCTAATCTACATCTATGCCCAGAAACACCAACCTACTTAAAAATCACCTTCAAAAAATATTTCACTAGCATCAGCCATAATTGTATCACTTTCTTAGAAACAGTCACAATGGGCTCTTCCTCTGAATACTAAAATGTCACACAATTCCACCTGGATTTTCAGTGCTAAATATAGAAATTCAGAACTTAGCACACCTTCATTAACTTGTGTTTGCAGTTCACAGTCCATGGGATTGCCACCAATCTCTTCAGTGCTTTGTCTTCTCTAAAAACACATTTATTCAATATCTTCCTCTCACTCATATAAAAATAATATCTCTCAATCATTACAATATATACAAGCAATCACATACATTGCTTTACTCCAATATTTTCAAATTGTTGCTATAACAAAACAGATTCCCTCTCCCTCAGAGTTCATTAGCAGATAGATTTGCAGATTCTGAGCAGACTCCTTCAAATACTTATAACAAATGAATATTTTCCAGGAGGCCAGGAAGGAGAAATGCTAATATTTTAGCTCCATAAAGGAAATTCTACAGCGGATGAAATTCTTTTTGTGGGATATTAGTACATATATTTTCTAATAGTCTGGGCTTGGAATTTCTACCCAGAAAAGTAATGATAGAAAAGAGAAAACGAGTGAAATGAGCAAGTGATTTGAAAGTTTCCTTTGAAGGTCAAAAGTAGAATTTATGAGCCAAGTCATTTTAAGGAGCCTGGCTTAATTTCAGAGAGATTAATATGAGAGATAGCTGACCTTGTTTCTACAAAGGAGAATGAATGCCTCTATGTTTACTCTAAATTTAAGCATCTGCACTATATTACAAGAATGAGTTTAGATATCCTTAGTGTACTATTTACATATTGCATTGTACTTGGCTTTTGGTGAGGGGGTTGTTTATTAATTTATTCCATACTGGAAGCGGTAGATTATCATCAAAAATATCACTGTAGGTTGGTGTTATCTAAAAACTGTGTAAATTATGTATCATTATTATTTTGCTTATTGTCTTTACATTAGTGAAGCAGTTTAGGCAACATCTGAGCAACTTTGATTGATCTAGAAAGCTAAGTAGACACAAGCCTAAAAGACAAGTGTTGTAGGCTAGATTGCCATTGCTGAAATTTTTGAGATGGTAAATTTCTATTTTATTCCTAGAAAATTGCATGGCTGTATCTGTGTACATTTTCAGGAAGTGAGCTTGACTTTACTTCTTAATATGTTACTATCTATCATTGTCCCATGCTATTTATATGACTAGCACAGTTCTTTGTAAGTGCCCTGCTAAGTAATACTTGTACATTCATTTACCTAACCAACCAGGCTTTGTCTTGCTAATTATTATACACCCTAGCTGTCTTAGTATATTAAACCTCCACTTCTTTTTAAAGACTGTTATCCTATAAATACCCTACTCAATACAGAGTTACTGTATCTACATGGAAATTTGAGTGGGATTGTCCTATGTGAAGTAAGATCTCAACATTTTAGCAACTTAAATATTTACAGATTGCCTTAGTTAACAAGGCGGAATACAGAGGGGCCATGATAATAGGAGTGAAGAGTAATACCAAAGCAACAATTGTGTTTTAGAACATTTTATTTAGTGCACTTCATATTTGGCAAGACAAAAAAAGCATTGTATTTCAATTTCAATTCAATTTTGCAGTCACAAAATGAATGCTGGCTTCTTAAGCTTCAGTTTTACCACAGTCTTCGTTTATTATTTTCAGCAGAATATAGCAAAGCAGGATCCCAGTTACCTGACAAGAAAGTAAAGAACATGCAGAAAGTGATTTAATTCTGACATGTGGAGAGTAGGAAAATGAAATAGATCATTCCTGTTACAGTAGATGGCATTTGGCTCTAAGCTCTGAAAGCAGTAGTATGATAGAGCTACTGTAGAAGAGAAACTATGTTAAGGATCCCAAATGTTTTGTTTTTACTTTGAAAGTCTAGGCATTCTGATTTCGTCTCTCCAAACAAGCACCAAATGCTATTACTGTAGTCCTTTATTTAAGCCTTTTATGCTTACCTGACCAAATACTATAAGAATAGCAAGTCCCCCCAATGCAGAAATGTTTCTTTCAGTCCAGGTCTTTAGTTTTAGAAGACAGCCCTGAGAAAGAAAGCGGGGGTGCATTGTAATAATTGCAATGGATGTTTTGTAAAAGCTAATCAAACTAAATTCAGCCAACAATTAAAACCATCAGAGAGCTTAGAGAGAGAATGAGGGACAGCCTACAGGCATAGATTATAAATGTTAGAAGTTATGCTTACTTTGGGATTGAGGGAACAGTTTTACAGTGGTTCTATTCCTTTCTCAATGACTAGTTCTAATCAGAGCGGGTAGGAGAGTTAGCAAAAGAATCCACTTAAAACCAAAATATGCCATGAGTTAGATTCTATCATCACTATGCAGATAAGGGGTCTTCAAACTTGACAGCTTTAAGACTTGTGGACTTCAACTCCCAGAATTCCTCCTCCAGTCATGTTAGCTCAGGGATTTTGGGAGTTGAAGTCCATAAGTTAAACTTACCAAGTTTGAAGACCCTTGATACAGATGTAGCAACTAGGAAGGAATCATTCTGAACAACAAGGTTCTTTACTTAATCTATTTAACAATATATTCCCGGTAAGAACTGTAGCCAACTTTAAAGCACTTTAGATTCAAATGCACCCTTTAACAAAAAAAAAGTGGGGGGTGGCAATATGGAGTTTTACCTCCTGATTGATGCCAACTATATCTTCATTTAGATCAGTAACACAGCTTTCCACAGGCATTTTGCAGCAGCTTTTGGGGACAGATGAGAAGCGCAGTCCAAAGGTTGTATTTTGCCAGTCTGTATAGTTCTTCACACCACAGCATTGATACTACAGTAGAGAGGAAAAAGCATGTGAGCTGGTAACAGAAAATACAGTTTCATGAATCAGTAAGCTTCACTTCCTTAAGTGAGTGCAGAGATTTTCTGCTCACAGTCTAGCCATACATCTTTCTTCAAAGTTCTTGAAAGTGGAAAGATGAAGATAGGATGGAATCAACGCAGATCATAGAAGGTAGTTTCCTTTCTTTGTTTCCCTAATGTTAGATTTTGGAATTGTAAACCATTCCAAGTTTTTCCTATAAGAAAGGTATCATCCTCGCTAAATATTTACAATGTCTTCTGGAATCATGAAAATATTGGTTTACATTGCCTCAACAACAGATAAGTAAATAATCTAGACATCCACAGTAGATAAATGGGAAAGAGTCATCTTGGACAGAATTCCAAAAGGCTTTGCAGTTCTGGAACACTCTCATTTTCTTAGACATTTTCTTAGATGCAGCTGAGGTCAGATTCATATTAGGGATGCCCATGTCATTTTCCCTATGTATCTACAGGCATGAAAAAAAAAAAATCCACAGAGGTGATTTACTTGGAGCAATTCTATTTGAACATTCCCTTTGAACATTACCCAATAATTACCTGGCTGCAGAATATATTGAACCTTTAACTGAGTTGGAAAGCATGCTTTGAGCCCAAGGGCAATGAGCTACATGCCAGTTAGCTCCAGTTTAGCCCAGCGGGATTCTATAAACCCTTCCTCGATACAGATCAGTAGTCTAACCAAACTGTGTTAGTTGAAACTTTTAAATTGTAAAACAACAAAACAGAAGCAACACCGATTCTAAAGGTTTGAGCCTATTTACTAGAATCGGTATTTAATTTCTATAGCTGTTCCTCTAATGCAAGTGAGAATTCATGCTACCAATTTTTGTCTTAAAGTAGGGCTCAGTTGTTCCTGGCGGGAGGGGAGAAGCTTTCTTTTACCTCTGCCTGGAGAATATCCACCCTCTTGGTGGCCTGCCTGTTCTTCTCATACTTGTTCAGAATCTTCATTAAATCTTTGGATACAGTCTGGTGTAGCTGTGCAGATATAGGATAAAGCAAATTACTATTGCACAGATTGTATTGGAAGTTTAAGCTGAGACAAGTTGATTTAATAGAGAATTATTATTCTCCTGTTCTAGCTCCCCAAACATTTGAGAGTTTAATACTATAGTATGGGGAAGCATGAATTAAACATTGTTAAAATTGAAATTACTAAATATTACTCCCCCCCCCCTTTTCTCAGTTGTTGGGTCCGAAAGAAAATGATTCTTGGACATTCAGAACATATGACTTTTCAAAATCTTTTTTATGCTTACAACTGACCTTGTTTAGACTCCTTTTGGTGTGAATCTGTAAAATTTGCACCACTAATAGCAATGAAAAGCCATTTATATTTTAGGTTAACCAATTATTACTAATTATTTTGAAGAGAAGATGATCACTTCCTCTGAAATCAAATAGTGTTACAAGATGTCTTTTATCTGCTAATTATGAACACTATCCTGATATGATTGGCAGTGGTGTTCCTTGTAAGATAGCTTGGTTCTGGTCAATTGCTTTTCAATGTTGGGGTACTCAACTGTTTAGGAAAAAGCAGCCAACTTACACTGCCCCCCCCACCAGATTCTGTTTTATATTTTTTGAGCATAATGTTGAATATTAAATTACACATTAAGCTCTGCTCCATTGTAGTTACCTCCTCTGCCAGAGTGATTTGGGAGATAATTGAGCATACAATATTAGGCTACCAGATAATCATTGTTTGTATAAATCTTGTCACCCACTTCCTCTCTTTCCATTTCTCTATTTTAAAGTGACAGAGAAGACAAAAAAAGCACCCTTTATTAAGGAAATGGCAAAGTTCAGAATGCTGTGCTGGACATACAGATAGCTATCAGAAATCAAGAATTAGTTCTCATTGTGGCAATTCTCCATTCCTTTTGAGAATGCACACCTCAAGAAGCAAAATGTCCCCTCCAATTTGAAGATAAGACTTGTGTTTTGAACCTGAAACCTTCTCCCCCAAACCTCACCTTTATTCTGGACACGTAGGCAGTGGCAACAATTAGGATTTCAGTGATCAAGAACAACACCAGAAAACCTGTGAACTAGTCAGAGAGAAAGAGAGAGACCAGTTTAGTTTAAAAGCCAGCAATTTATCAGAATTGCTTTTCAGAACACAGCACTGTTATTTTTACCCTTCTATATCCATCCCCAACTCTTATTCAGAGGTCCAATTCTTAGCCTGCCTGGCATGTCAACCTCACTCTGGGACAACTGCAAAGCCAAACTCAACATTCATCCATTATTGCTGTCACTTATCTTCACAGATAGGTCAAAATGATGAAGTCACCATTAGAAAGAGTTGAAACTGAGAGGCTGAATGTGTCCAAGTCAAGCCACCAGCACCATACATGGGGAAAACTTGGCTTGTTCTATAGTGACTGCTTTATATGCATACATTTCCAAGCCAATGTATTTTGGGGCATATTAGCACTAAAACCAACAAACACCATAATTGGATAGTTTTTCCCAACACATTTAACACAAGTGGAATTTAAATGGCATACAACCATCTAACATAATTGTAGCTTCTTACAAAATAGAACAATTTTTGCAGTCAACTCAAATAAAAAATATATTACTATGTAAGAATGGATAATTATATATACAGAATTCCTAGCTTAATTTCTTGACACCAGGAGGCAATTTCTTGTTTCCATGTATAGGACCTCAGGATTACAATAGGTTTAATCCAGTTCTACCTTAAGAGTTGATCTGTGAAAGAATCAGAACTTAAGGAAGTATTGCTATGGCATCTAGAAACTCCAAACAAAATTGACCTTCAATCTTAAACACACTGAGAGACATTAAATTAACTCTACACATGTTCTGTATTGCATTTAATATTTGAATAGCCCTTACCATTTTGATCATGGCTTTGCTCGATCTGAATAAAGCAATTGCTCCAAAGCCAGACACAATGATAATAAGCACACCAATAGCTGTTATGGTCACACCTATTCCTGAAGCAGCTTCGTTCAGTATCACAAAAGCATTGTGGAGTTTCACTTGCACACACACACCTGTGATTATTAACACAAATCCAGCAACCTAGAGTTTGGGAGGTCAAAACATAATTAAGAAAAATAGCTAGAGGTTATTCTTCATGAAGGCAAATATATTTTAGTCAAATTAATTTCAAGCTATTTGTAACATGGATGTTCAAAGTCATACAAAGGAAAGTAGTATAGATAAAAAAATATTGTTACTTGCATAGACATTTGCTCCAAGATCATAATAGAGCTAACCCTTTCTGACCAAGGCTAGGCTTTACAGAAATTACCCGGTAGGTCATTATGTGGTTTGCTTTCTAATCCATTCTGTGGTTCATGGATTATACAGTACATATGAAACAAGCCATGATATAACAAATTTCAGGCTCTCTACTTTTTTAAAGTTTCAGGAGGGATGTTTAGAATTTCACACATAAATCAATAGTGTAGAAGAAAACAGGCTATGATATTATTAAAAGGAAAAAAAAATCTAAAAAAATAGTAAAAGCAGATATTCGTGGATTTTTCTAGGAAAATATTCTATAAGGATCATAGCAAAGCCACAGTTTGTAAAATACTCAAGACCATTTTAAGCATTACACTATACCAATTTAAACAGGGTTTATTAAAAAAACACACAGCTGTGTATATATAACATACAAATTCAGAAATAAGAAACAAGCCACATGTTTAGTGCAAAGTAAATCAAACCATTATATATTATTTATTCTAGGGCTGAAAAATTAAACAGCATGAATTATAGGAAAAAGAAGCAAACATTTAAATCAAAGCATTTTAAATTAAAAGTCAATTATATTTATTGAAAAATGTAATTTGCTTTCAAATATTTAATTATCTTTCACCTTGAAAAACTTGTGGCCTTACAAAAAGTTATAATTGCTAAATTATGCAAGTTGAAAAAATTCAATTTTGCCATTTTGGTTTAGAAACACTGCTTTATAATTTAGCATGTTGTGCAAGTACAGTACAACCACAATCTTGTTAAAATTTTTCTAAACGAATATATTTCCAGTTATCCTATTACAGCTAATAACTACTATTATAACACATAACAGAATTGAGAAGTTGGTCTCCAAAAAATTGTGACATTTTATACTCTAGATACAAAGTGAGACTACACTTACAAATGTAAAACACACGCAATCAATACCTTACCCAATAAAGTAAAACAGTCAGCCATAAAGCAATTTTAATGCACCACTTCCATGTAATTATTGCTTCTGCTCTCATTTTGCCTGCTCCCTCCATAATGCTTGAGACTAGTGAGGATCAATAGCCCTGTGCTAATAAATGTTTGCAGTTGTTACAGATGTTCCCAATTTCAACCAAAAACTCAATTTACAGCTTGTGACATCACCTTAAAAAGGAATACATTTAATAATGTTCTCAAACCATTTTTCTTTCAGCAGCTTCACTAAAACCATAATCAGGATGTTAGGTTATTGTAGCCAACTGTTCCTGAAATAACTTTCATATAGAGCAAGCTATTTCAGGAGCAGTGTGCTGTTTTACCATAGCAGCCTGTGTGTGTGTGTGTTTATTTAGTGTATATGTATATATCATATACATGCATATACAATTGGTTTTTTTCCTATCTAGTGTTCTTATTCTTATGCAAAGTGTACAAAAAAATAAGTATCCCAGACAGCAGATGCTGAACAGTCTACCAGGAAGAGCAAATCTATGCATGTACCATGAATTCTTGCTTAGAATCTGTTATGTACTTGTTTTGCATACTCGTAATACTGCATTCCTATTGGGCAGATACTGCCGCCTAGCGATTGGTAGATAACAACAGTTCTGATTGGCTGCCTAAGCGGCGGGAGTTTTAAATAAATGCCATTGGTTGCGAGCCGCGAGCAGCCGCTATAAAAAGGGCTGCTGCGGCTCGACTTTAGTTGAAGTTCCTAACAGTTAATAAAGAGCTGAATTCAACTCCGGTCTCAAGTCTGCTTTGTTCTGGCGATATAACACTGGCAACAAGGATGGGATCGAAGGAACAAAGACCGTAAGCACGTGGCAACGGAAGCCAGAAAAGCGACGAGATGGCCGGCAACAACTCGCCACCCGCACCGTTCAATCCAGCCGAAGAAGACTGGGAATCATATATTGACAGGTTCCTGATGTTCCTGGAAAGCAACGAACTACAAGGAATCACTGACCAGAGGAAGAGAGCCATATTCCTGACACATTGCGGTCCGACCATTTTTAAGATGGCAAAGGCGTTGGTGAAACCGAACGATGTCAAACAGATGGCATGGCCAGACCTGAACTGAATGCTAAGAAACCATTACGCACCTGTCATGTCCAACCTCATTCGAAGACATGAATTTTATAAATGGGATCAACAAGAAGGCAAGAGTATTGGGGACTTCGTAGCAGCACTAAGGGACATTGGAGGGGCATGCGAGTTCCTCAACATGGATGAAGCCATGAGGGATCGCATAGTCCTCAGATTGAGAGACGCTACCCTGCAGAGCAAACTGTTTAATCGACCCAACATTACTGTAAATGAAGCCATCGCTGAAGCAACCGCAGCCAAGGCAGCAAAAAAATCTGCGGCGAAAATGAAGCAAATGAATACGGCCAACAGTCCAAGCCAGAGCAGAGAAAAGAAAGCGGAAGGTACCCAGAAACACACTACCGCAACCACCCACCATGAAGACATCGAGTCATCAATTGATTCTGAGGAAGAAGACGAAGAGGTAAACAGACTCCAGTCAGAGCAGAACCGACGAGAAAGAAGAGGGAGAAAACATGATTTTCAGTGTGCCGGATGCGGAGGAAATCACCCGCGGTCTGAGTGCCGTTTTCTGGACGCCATCTGCAGACTGCGAAAAACGGGGGCACATTGCAAGGGTCTGCCAAAACAAAAAGAGCTATAGTCCGAAAAGACAAGGCAGCAACTTCCCCCCCGAACTAAGGAGAAGCCAACTGGAAGTCGTTGGAGCCGGGAAAATAGAAGTCAGCGACTCAACAAGAAGGAAGAAACACATCAGACGATTATGATTGGAAATGCCAGAGCTACTGATGCCAAGAAGGTTCGAATAAATGTCAAGATAGAAGGAGAGCCATGCGAAATGGAAGTAGACTCTGGCTCATATCTGTCAATGGTATCATGGAACACAATAAAAAAACTTGATACTAGACATACGGCGGAAAGAACTCGAAGAGCAAAGCCTGACGTTAAAAGACTACCAAGGGAACAAGATTCCGGTAGTTGGATTGGGACATTTCAAGATAAAATTCAAGAAACACTGAAATTCTTCCATTGACCATCGTTGACCGAGACCGCCCCAGCCTGCTTGGGTTAGAATGGTTCGCGCCTCTGGGGATCGAAGTGACAGGAATCAAAAGCGTCACCGAGACAGACTGGGAAAAAGACCTGATGGAGGAGTTCCGAGACGTATTCGACGGGACCTTAGGCAAGTACTGTGGGACCCCTATCTCATTTAGCCTAAACCTGAACATAGCCCCCATCAGGCTAAAAGCCAGACGCATCCCCTTTGTGTTAAAGCCAAAAATTGATGAGCAGCTGAACAAACTTATCGCACAAGGGGTGTTAGAGCCAATCGACCATGCAAGATGGGAAACCCCGATTGTGACTCCCATGAAACCAGATGGGTCTGTGTGCATCTGTGGTGACTATAAGGCCACCCTGAACCACGCATACCCCATTCCAGTAGTCCAGCACCTTTTGCACTCGTTGGGGGGAGGAAAATTTTTTGCAAAGCTCGATCTCGCGCAGGCATATCAACAGTTGCCGGTTGATTCTGAGACGGCAGAGGCACAAACTATTGTAACACATGGGGGGCATTTAAATGCAACAGATTACAATTTGGTGTCAGTGTGGCCCCCGGCGTTTTCCAAAGCCTGATGGAATGCCTCCTCCAAGGACTAAAAGGGGTGGTTCCCTATTTTGATGATGTATTGATATCAGCCAGAAATAAAAAAACAACTAAAGGACCGGCTGAGGGCAGTCTTGCAAAAGTTTAGAGAAGCAGGACTCAAGGTCAAAAAAGAAAAATGCCAACTTGCCACAAATCAGGTTGAGTTCCTAGGATATCTTATTGATGAAGCAGGAATCCACCCCACCGGAAAAAAAATATGAGCAATAAAAGAAGCACCCAGACCCAAAAACAAAACGGATTTGCAGGCATTCTTGGGACTCATTAATTTTTATAATGTCTTTTTGCCGCAGAAGGCAACAATAGCGGAACCACTGCATAGACTTCTCGATAAAAAAGCCATGTGGAAATGGGGCCAACAAGAAGAAGCTGCATTCCAAAGAATTAAGGATTTAATTACATCTAAATCAGTATTGATCCAATACAGCGACACGCTAGCCCTGACTGTCACCTGCGACGCTTCACCATTCGGCGTAGGCGCAATACTTAGCCACACACTACCTGATGGCAAAGAGGAACCGATCGCCTTTTATTCCAAAATGCTATCCAAAGCTGAAAGAAACTACAGCCAACTGGATAGAGAAGCTTTGGCTGCTATCTCGGGGGTAAAACGTTTTCACGAATACCTTTATGGTAGGACATTTTCTTTGATTACCAACCACAAGCCACTGCTTGGAATCCTGGCAGGAGACAGGGCCACCCCCAACATCCTGTCTTCAAGGATGACAAGATGGTCGGAATTTCTCGCAGCCTACAATTACAAGCTCGTCTATCGGCCAGGAAAAGCCATACTCCATGCCGACGCATTGAGCCACTCACCCCTACCAGACCATGACGACGATCCAGCTCCAACCACACACACCCTGCAAATTGAAACAATATCGAACCTGCCCATCACCGCATCGGACATCGCAAGGGAAACTGCAAAAGATGCACCACTGGCCCGACTCCTGAACTGGGTGGGGAGGGGCTGGCCGGAAAACGACAAAAATGAGACTTTTAAACGGTTCAAAAACCGCCAAACTGAGCTGTCAATTGAAAAAGAATGCATCTTGTGGGGGGATAGGGTTGTTGTTCCACGAAAATTACAAGAAGACGTACTGAACATGTTACATGAGGGACACCCGGGCATGGTAAAAATGAAGTCCCTGGCCAGAAGCTACGTCTGGTGGCCAGGAATAGACAAAGACATCGAAACCTGGGTAAGAACATGTCATAAATGCCAGCCGTCCAGACCTACCCCCCCCCTTAGCACCGGTCCTTGACTGGGAGACACCCAGAGGCCCCTGGTCAAGGATCCACATAGACTTCACCGGACCACAAAGGGATATACATTTTTAATCATCGTTGATGCCTACTCGAACTGGTTAGAGGTCAGCATCATGAATTCAACAATGACTGAAGCCGTCACTAAACAACTAAAGAAACTCTTCACCACCCATGGTATACCAGATATAGTAGTATCAGACAATGGCCCACAGTTCACAGCTTTAGCTTTTGAACAATTCCTCGCAGAGCAAGGTATACGACATGCTCTGACAGAGCCAGCTCACCCGGTGGCGAATGGAAGGGCAGAACACATGGTTCGATAAACAAAAGAAGCATTAGAAAAACTTGAAGGAGGCGACATACAAGACAAAATCAACACCATGCTCACTATTCAACATATAACGCCGTGCACATCAACAAACAAGAGCCCAGCTGAACTTTTAATGGGCAGAAAATTGCGCACATATCTGGACAGACTACACCCCACCTACAATCCCGAGAAACCACCAGACTCCTTCAGTAAGTACCGCACGTTCATACCAGGCGACCTGGTATACGTGAAAAATCTTACCGGAGAACCGTTGTGGTTACCGGCCATGATAACACAAATCACAGGCCCCCGATCATACCGGCTAGAGACTACCGATGGCAGAACATGGAAAAGACACATCGACCAACTACGATCTCGATACATCGAACGCAACACTGACACACCCCTGGAACATGGAGCAGAAACATCCACAAGACCCAATAGACAATAATAATAAAACCAGAGGGGGGTGGGAACCCTTCAATAATAAAGGAAAGGAAAACCCTCCATTAACAAACCACCAACCAGAAACTGAAAACCCAAAAAGAAATAAAAACTACTTACCATTTGGCGAATTCAAAAGAAGAGATCTGGAGGAGAACCAAGGAAGAAGCAGCCGAGCCAACTCTACCTGCCCGAGCATGCCAGAAGGGAGCGACAGTGCCTGTCCAACCAACCCAACAAAGCACGGCAGAAGTGGCATGGCTGGCTCACCCTTCCAGGAGGTTCCAGAGAGAAGAACA